ATAGCATAGCTAAAGTACCAGCTGCCAACTCTGGGGCACAAGGCAATTCCCAAGTCAGTAACTAGATCTTCATGTTTTTTATCACTGCTTGGTCTATTTTCTGTTCAATGCTTGCAACTTCCATTAACGTTAATGAGTATGCATATGTGCCTTGAGGGTAAGAATACACTCCCTTTGTGGCTTCAAAACTTGTTTATAAATCCCTCCAAAAATCACATTGTGTTCATTGTTGAGTGCAGAAAGCTATTGTAACAGCTATTAGAACCACTGCTTCCATTCCTCCCTTCCCCTTGCCCTCCCTTATCTGAGGGACCAGAAAACAAACCTGAAAGGATGAAGTGCTGTAGGAGATGGCACATGTAAGTATGCAACTCAGTTTAGGAAGCTACATGAAAATCAGCTCTCTGCAGGGAGGGGCAAACTGAAGTCTCAGTAAAAACAAAGAAAACCGAACCCCAAAGCACCAAAATACTACCACTACCATCCCCAAAAAAGCAAAGCCCTTGAAAATCTCAAAGCTCTTAAATGTTAGAGATAAGACAGAAATCTTTGCTTTGTCCTTCCTACTAGAGAGCAGCTCAGTTGGAGCAATACTGGTCTAAAGACTGGAGACACTGCACCTGTCCCCTTGCCACTGGGACACCAGGGCAGACCTCTGAGTCACATGCAGAAGCTAAGGACCAACTCCACTTCACTGCACCGACATTAGGGTATGTGCCTTCTGCCTCTGGCTTTGACTTCTCCCTCAATTTCCAGCTCCTTTCTCCCACTGTGCACAGTTTAAGGTCAAGCCTCACAGTTTGGAAGAGATAGATTACACTGCACAGAAAATAACATGTAATGCAGCTCTGAGATCAAGAATGAGAATGAGAATGAGCCATGGTGATGCCCAGCCATCGCTGAGAGGGAGCCTGAATTCCTGCATTCTGCTTCCTGGGCACGGGCTGGCAGGCCTGGCAGGAGGAGGGAGACAAGTAGGCGGTGCAGGAGCAGTGACACCCAAAAGCGCCCATGGGTGCAGCCATCAGAGCTCACCAGTCAGTTCCTTTATATTTTTGTTAGGTCTCAACAGGGCTCTGTAGTGATATTTCTTCCTTTAGCAGGCATGGATAAAAAGATGCAGGAGATCTGGCTGTAAGGAAGGGTACGACATGGTCCTAACAGAGGGTAAAACTTCGAAATCTACGTTAAATACATGATTAGCTAATGTAAAAAATAAAAGGAAACCAGCACCTTTTTAAGACAGTGAAAGCTCTAAAGCTCTTCCATTGAAGTTCTGTTTAATGAGAGTAGCAAAAGTTCAAGTTTACAAGGCAGAGACACCAATCTAGTTGACAGAAAACTAGATTTATGAGAGAGACCAGCTGGACTGCAACCCCAGTTACAGCTATTGTAATTGCCTTTCTCCAGAGGATAATTTTCCCTACAAGTTGCCCACTTTCAGAGATTGCTGAGCAACAGACAGAGGCTTCCTCTGCATGGACTCAGAAAGCAGCAAGAAGGCTATCTCCTCGCACACCAGGTACTCAGCAGGAAAGCCCTGAACGAATTGAATGGGTTCCAGAGCTGGGATCCCTGCAGTATTTTCAGTTATCAGACCTAAACCTCCCAAGGTCTCTGACAGTAACAGAATTACAACAGCAAACAGCATTTTCAAAATCTCGCTCTGAGATTTAATGGACATTTGTGTGCAGGTTTATGTGTACATGCAAGCACACACAACTGGGGTTTACATTATAAGTATAGTAATATGCACACGTAATATAAACGTATATTATGTATACATAAATTACATTACATTTTATGTATGTGTATTTTTATTTATATATTAGGTAGTCACCGTCCAGATTACTAAACAAGTTCAGCAAATTTTAACAGAAAATATTTTTAAAATGCAATTCATTTATTTCCGTTCATTTAGGTGTTGCAGTAGGTCTTGAAACCTTTCTTGTGGACAGGCAACGATCACATCAAAAGCCATCACCTGAGGTTGGTTACATTCATCAATTAGGCTGTTTTATGATTTCCTTTTTCTATAAGTGGAGGCACTGGAAGTACATTCCAGTTAAACTGCATTTTCTCATTAAAAAGCCTCTCAGGATCAAGATTAGATCTGCCTTACTTGCTAAAATACGTTATTTAAAATTATGTTATCTAAAAATTCTGTTCAGTTCACTTCTCGCTTCCAATGTGTGATATAAGGGGCACAGTCTGCTGTTCCTACCAGGGATTGAAAACCCTGCCTACGTTTCTAAAAACAACTTTCTAGAAATCTGTCTCAGAGAAGAAAAGCATTTGGTGGAAGGCTCTCAGTGGGTGCATATGGGAGGCAGCCGGAAGAGTAAAAAAGGAACAGTAAATTTTAAGAGAAGCACAGAAGCATCTGTGGCATCACACCAACAGAAACGAAGTCAAGCGAAGGAGAATCAGGCCTTCACTTTGGAGATTGCTCTTGCAGACACAGCCAAGGTAGACTTGGTGAAACACAAACAGAAGTGTTACCACACTGCTGCATAATGAGACAGGGTTAATAGGTGTCATCACAACTTAAAAGATCTTCGCACTCCCACAAATTTGGAAGCAAGAGCACTTATAGAAAAGTTTATAGAGCCTCTGTGGCTGTTATGGATGTTACTTGTGTTTCAGGAAGAAAAGGTCTTTCAAGCTCATGACCAAAGTTTTCCTGCAACTTATTTGTGCAGTAAAGTCAGACTCATATTCGAACACAACTTCCTGCTATGGTGGATGTTATGATGTGATGGATTCAGAATTTTGACTTTACTACAATCGGGAAAAGAATAAAAGTTACCATCAGCAACTGCTTTTATTGGTATGAACTTGGATCACTATCAAAAAGCTGAATAGATATGAGTGGTGAGGCTGTCCCCAGTTGCCTAGGAAATGCAGCAAATTCTTTTTGAAAGTTGCCATTGGGCCAGAAAGTAGATACTATAGTTTGAATTATTCTGCATTGCCATAAAAAATGAGTGTGTGACAATTTTTTTCACAACTTCTTTGTATAGATTCTACAATAGTTGATGGAGAAACAATGGAGTTTTTTATTATTGTTTTCCATAGTTCCTGGAAAGAGCTGTAGATGTTTAGCCTGGAAATGCTGTAAGCATATGCAAATGTGTGAGAAAAACATATGCACATACAAATATTTACGTACAACATAGGCAAAAGTAACTAAAATTCAAATCTGCATCTTCTTGGACTTTAGCTCCCAAAAACCTCCCTAGGAGAGTATGGAAAGCATTTTAGAAGCCCAGCCTGTTCATCCAAACACAAATACTCTAACATCTCTGGCAGTATCTCAAAATCTAAAGTTGCATTTCTTCAAAAAAATCCTACCATCTGATATTACTTTCAATACAACACTTTGGTGAAACCCGCCTACGTTTGGCGTGAACTAAAAAGACAAAATGGGCAGATGTTCTGAACACAGGAATATAACAGTATGATTAAAGGCTTCTGTCAGATCAAAATCTCCAGGAACAATTTCATGATAATCCAAAGGTGCCCATAGCTGTACGATATATAAACCAGCAGGATGAATAGAATTCAGGTAGCATATTAAGCATTGCAGAGGTTCTCAATACTCCATGAAGGCATTTAGTTACACTAAAAAGGTAACATTTATGTATTATCTTCCATGACAGTGATAAATTATTATTCATTCACCAGTTCTTTCCAGAGTTCTTACTATGAATATTCATCTCTTGATTTTAGAGCCCATTTTATATTGCTTTCTCTGCAAAATAAGCTTCCTTTAGCTCTGTGATTCTTGGGCAGTTTCAGGGAGAAAAAGCACTAATAAATACTAAAGAACTATAAACATACTTCAAAATGCAGTATTTTTTAAACTAGCTTTTGAGCAACTTCAGAGCACCTACTCTTCATAGCCTGTTAAACCAAGAAGTTTGTGTCATGCATTCTGTTTTGTATTAAATGAAAGACTTTAAAGACTATCCGATACGAGATATTAAATCTGTTTGTGGCACAAACTTGAATAGTTTCTATGTAAGCTTTAGTCCCACATAGTTAAATTGTTTTTATCAAGGGCAGCTACTTAATGCTTAGATTTTTCTTGTTAGTCTGATCAATGGAGTTGGTGTAGTGGTATTGCAGAGGGTAATATCATATGCAAAATAACTGCCAACAGCAGCATAAATAAGCATGCAGTATTGTTCAACATGTATTCTATCCTTGTAAGCATAGACAAACATGCTACCAGCTGAAATCCACATTCCTTTGCATCTTATCACCAATGACCTTACAATTTAGATTTACTTAGAAGGGGTTTTAGCATATGCATAACTAAGCAGTATTTCAGGCCACAACAACAAACAAAATGGATGTTCACTAAGAGCCTGACATACTGCACAGGATGTCAAAAGTGATATCTAACACTGCAGTGAGAAAGACCAGCACCAGCCAAAAACACTTGTTCCTAAGGGTTCCTCCTTACAGTTCATGCTGTGAAGTAGTCATCCTGGTATCTCCTACCAGGGAGTACAGCTGGTTCTACTGCCACACAAAATACATTTCCAGCATAAAAGAAAGGAAGAAGATTCCTAAACAGTTAGTTCATCTGTAGTAATTCAGAGCAAGGAAGGGATAGCCCTTTACTTCTTTGTTGAGGAAGACCCTCTCCAAACCATTAGTCTGCACAGTGCAAGTAATCATGGTGGTAAGTCCTCAGCTGGTGTGCAAGTGACATTATTCTATATACCATCTGACAGTAATATCTTCCTCAGTCCATTCTGAATGCATTCAACTAATACCCTCATTATATCAAAAAGGCTAGCATAAGTGGTATGGCTCTTTGAGAAATGTTACAAGTTGGCAGTTACCCACTGGTCTAAAACCTGGAGAACAGTGATGCAGAATATTTGTGCTGGTACAAGAGAAACATACAAGTAATACCTAAACATAAGATCAATTAATCTTAACACTGAGTCTATAAAAACTTTCTTCTAAAGAATTATAGTGTTTACCTTCAGTCCTGTCTGGTAGTTTCCCACTCTTACTTGTTGTTCCAGTGTTGACTGTTTCAGATGAGGTGCTCAATTTGGTGTTGGGATCTCGCTTAGGTTTTGGTGGTGGCTGCTTACGAGAGCTGCTACTTTCATCATCAGTTCCTCCAACAGAATGAAGAGATTGGGATCTTACGGCAAAGCCACTGGAACAAGGATGTGGCAGTCTGTCCTGAGGAGCAGGCATTGTCATAAATCCCATGCGGAAATGCTTCCCCACGTAGCTTCCTTCATTTCCTCTCACTACTTCTCCACCTATCCTGTAAGAGAAAATACACACACACGTAAATAATCCAGCTTTGTCTTAGCTTTACCTAAAACCAGGGCCTCAGTTTGCCCTGCATTGAGCAGACTCTACTTTTTGCCTTGTAAACAAGCAATGCACTTTCCTTAAACCAAGAAGACTATCAGAATGTAGTAGTTTTTTCAACACAAATTGCCAACAAGTGAAATGTAGATAGACTGCTATGCACTCACTCCAAATTTTACAATAAGAAATTGAGAAAGGTTTTTGTTCAGGTTTCATGTGACCTGAGTTTGCCAGTAGGGCAAAAAATGCTACTTTAGAAATGCAACATTGTGCACTGATTTGCACTCATCTTTGACTACAGACACATATAAGTATCTTGGGAAATACGGCTCTTTGGGCCCAATCAATCATTCCCCTTCAGATTAAAGAACAGTTAGAGAAAGAAATGCTGTAAAACTTACTCTGGGACATGGGAAACTGAAAATTAACACATGAAGCTGCAAACATGAGCCCCATCAGACTAATAAGGTGCAAATGTAGATGATGAAAAGGTAATGAGCTGTGGCACTGCAGGAAGAAAATAACTTCCAAATATTCAGAAATACAAGTAAAGAAGAAGGAAAGGTCAGCTGAAACAGGCACTGTCATTTCAAGTACTACACTCTTTTGGGGGTGGCAGCACTGAGAACCTGGTATTATTTCTGCTATGCTCATACATGCTTATCAGTTCTGAAGCACAGTTCTTGCTGGTGCTTATACTGCTAACCTGCAGCACATTACAATTAAGGCCATTCAGTGACCATGTGAAGAAACCCAGTAACACACACAGGTCAACACAGCCTTGTTTGCAAGGAGGTTTGAAATGGTACCACTGCAGGAGCGTGGAGATGGCAGTATGAGAATGGTAAAGTCTCAGAATGCCCTAATTACCTCCCGTATCCCCTTCACACAAAATGAAGCTCTGAACAGGGTCAATCTGCTCCTCTGTAAGTTTCCTGCTTGATGCTGCCTAGGGCTGGTGTAATTTATTTTGTGCTGAAAACATCTCCTTCTCTAAAAGACAAGCACATTTCTCAACAGTTCATTTGAAGAGTGAATAAGGTCGCTTCATTCCCTGAGACTGCCCCTAGCAGATGGTAAATCTTCATCTTCTTTGTAGGTTACATACAGACTGTTGTACCTAGTTGTTGTAAAGCATCAGATTGGCACTGTGCAATGCACAATTTTGTGTATGGTAAAGCAAAATCTTTATTATTTTACTGAAGTCTCTGCATTTTTCTTTTAGTTTCTGTAGAGAGATCTGTTTTCTAAATTGGTAGCAACTGTACAGTTCTAAATAAAGACGCATACAGAGGTACTGACATTTCCACATGCACACACACAAACCTCCTACATGCTACATGTACACACACACTGGTCCATGTTCAAAACCAAGTTATTACCAAATCCTAATTGGCACCAATTCCATGGGGATTTGCAGCCAGAAAGATCAAAAGGTAGAACTCATTAATTTGAAGATTAATAAAAAACCTGCAGCCAATTTTAGTGATTAACTATGCCTCTACTAATCTTTCATAAATGGTTCTGAAAATAATATAATCCTCTAACTCTGGACTACAAAAAGTGCCTGCCACATTATTTAAAGAAGATTACTATCCAAACATGCTGAAGAACACAGGTGGGGAGTCCTTCCATAGGTCCATTGTATAAATCACATTTAGCAAACAAAATTTCAGTTCACCATGTACCTGACATTACAATCCTTATCATATTACTCTATTTACTGAGTGCATTTACTGCACTTCTGCATGAAGGTGCTTAGCTTACACATTATAGGGCAGATCCTGTTCTGGATTCACTTACAGATATCACAGTGCAGTAAAACATTTGAGCCTTCTAACAATGCACAGAACAGTACTTATATTAAGCTTTTTTTTTTCTTCTTTTTTTTTTTTTTTCCCCAAACTTGCATCTTATCGTCTTATATTCCAGAAATAAAAATGCACCATCTCAAAAACAATTAAATCATGTCTTCTCTTGTTCCTTTTCACCCCATCTTTTTTTTTTTTAACTCTTTATCAAACTCCTTTTGACATCATGGGTAAAATCCTGCCTCTCTTGCTCACTACACTTGAGAATAAACAACATGTAGCCAGAGAGAGATGGCAAGGACAGATGGGAACAGATCTTGCTCTTCTGCTCAATGGCTGAAGTAGATCTGGCCTTACTTTTCTGTACCACCTGCTCAGCAACTGGACAAAGATAGAAAGAACATGATTTCCCTCTTTTCAGACACATTTAAAGACAGCCCATTTCTCTTGCTAAAGCTAAAAGTTGGGCATGGTAAACTCCAAGTTGAAGAAGAGAAGCCCTTGATTCTCAGTCCTGAGCCCTGCTCATTGACCAGGACCCCAAAAGCTTAGGTTTGTTACTTATGCTGGAGATGATGACTGAATGTCAAGCAGTGGGTGTTTTCTAGCACAATTTGACTAGTAAGCACAATCATAATACCAAGTGGATGCCAAGTCCACTTATCAGTTGTACAGACTGAATTCTACCACACTGAAAAGAATGGAGTTCCTCCAGGCTCGTGCCCAGAGTACAAGTACAAAAGCAGAAAGGGACGAATCAAATGCTGCATCCCCTGCCTTCTGGCAGCAGCATGCTACAATTCAATTTGGGCTTGTGCAGTGCAGCTTTGCAATGCACAGCGCTGCTGATGGTACAGCATGAAACCAGACAGTGCTCAAGGATTTATATCTACACTCCTCCTGCCTGCAACCACAGGAGCTGGCTGGAGCTGGTGTATGCTCCACTACTCCACAACAGGCTGAAAAAGATTTATATGCACCTTGTTGCTTAAATGACTACGGAGACAGCCAGGGAAAATAATTGCAGAGATGATCTCACTCCATTATTTCTGACAGGAAAGAGCCTGGGCTCCTCATTGTACCGATAATGGGTTCTATCTCATTTCAAAACTGTATTATGTGAGTTGCTGCAAGTATTAAACAGTTTATTAATATATATGGAAATACAGATTCAGATTATTCCTCTGGGAAACTTCAATTTGAACCTGGCTAGGTTCAACTACTTCTCTGACAAAAAAAATTATGTATAGCATTCAAATAAGTTAAAAATGCAACAGATTTTTCTCTACAAGAAAAGATGGCTTAAATAATTACAAAATTAATCGTGTGATCATTTATGTTATGCAAGTAAAGTGGACTTTGTGCTGAAAATGCATCTTGGAATATGCCTAGGTCTAGAGACTGCAGCTGCAGTAGATGGAATAAAAGGGCAGTATGGTGAAGTTGTCTCCAGTCAGCACTAAAAAAAGCATTTTGAAGGAGATTTTCTTTGAAGAACACAGTGCATGGCTTTCCCAGTGCCTCACTAACAAGACCCTTGTAGATCACTGAGTGCTGCCAGCTTCCCATCCCTCAGAATGGAAATGAAATACTACAACAAATATCAAAATAGTTGAATCTGCCTTCAATTGCTACTGGTGTATTTTGGTTTCCATTTCTAAAATACAAACAAGCTGCTCCAGTGGATGAATTTTTTGAGTCCTTTTGTACCTCTAAAATATGTTTTAATTGTCACCTGTGACTTCTAAGCTCAAAAATGGACTAGAATAAAACCATACTGAAGTTGCTGTTCATACCTGCACTACCAGCGTGCCTGCATGTAAGCTGCAAATGTCACAGTTCTAGATACATTACAGTTCAGCCTATTGTGCTCTGCTGCATCAATCAGAAACTGGAGCACTGAATAACCTAAAATATGGAATAACTTGAACTACGCAGGTTTTTGAACAACTACAGAGGCTTTTGCATTATTCATTTTAGGACAAAACACAAGGGGGTAAGTTACAGATGATGGCTAAACATAAACGAAGACAGAAAAAACACTCTAAATGGACACAGCATTAAAAAGGTCTTAGCCACTTTGCTTTGCCATGAGTCATAGCAATCCTATCAACTTGGAAACTTTCAAATTAGTTAAAAACCTAAGAAAAACTTGTCATCACATTTCTGAAATGTACATGGCAAGGAAAAAGCATGCAGAGACTGTCTGCCTTAGCCAGTGTGGTCTTCTTAATTTGCATTGTTCCTACTTAGCATTGCAAATAGTGGTTTTACTTTGCTGTGAAGTTTCTTTACTTGATCCAGGCAGAAATGGAATTAATTCCTGAAAAACAAATGAATAGTTAAGTAAAAATTTGTTTTCCTAGGTTTTGCTTCCTTAACAGCAAACAATGTAGAATATTAAATCCCTCAGTCTAGTAGGAGAATTTTTGGAAATATCTATGTCCTGAAAAACGAGAATACCCTAGAGCTACATTTTCTTCCCAGCCATCTACTTTCCACTGTTCTTATTATTCATCCAGAAATTCTCTTATCAGTTTGGACTTACAAAGGATTAGTTTCATTCCTCAGGCACTAAGAACCCCCTGGTATTTTCCATTATCTTTATGTGGTTTCCATTTTTCTTCCCATGCTCCTTACCTAAGACTTTCTGAGTTTATATCCACAAGTTCAAAAACGGAACTACAACTGAGTATGACTTGAATTCCTAAACAGGAGGAAAAGTACTCTGGCATAGTATCTTTGAAGGCACTTTTGTCCTTTCTGTACTCTGATCCCCCAAAGCTGGGGACCACAGTAGGACACCCTCCTTCTCTGTGTTGAAATTCCAGAGAAGCAACAACAGCTGCTTGCTCACTCCTCTTCCAAGCAAGTAGGAAGAATACTGGTTTGTTATCCAGGGGTAAATGAGCTGGGGACTCTCTTCAAGCTCCTCTGCAGAAATGAGGAGAACTGTGAGTTACAAGGCAAATCGTGCAAGTGGATGGCCAAGTCTCTTCCTGCCAGAGAGACACCTGCCCATGAAGTACCACTCTGACATGGCAAACCCCTAATTCATCAGGGATGCCATCTGACCAGGGAGGGAAGAGAAATCACAAATAAAAAAAGAAAAAACAAACAAAAAAAACCCCCACACCTA